ATTACCTCCTGAGGCTGATTAAAGAGAACCAGGACGGCGAAAACCCAGCCCAAAACGAAGCAAGCAAGGACACGAGCAAGCCTTCGAAGGAGCACGAGAAGAGAGCCGATGTCAAGTTTCTCAAAGAATACGAAGCAAAGAAGCAAGTGTTGGAAAGGATGGAAAATGCTCTCAACTCCTTCCCCTATCGCCGATACACGCAATACTCGGAAGGTGTCGAACCATGGCGCAGCTGCACCTTCTGCGGTGCGCGAGCAGCGCACTATTCCGACTCTTGTCCAACAATTCGAAACGCGTTAGACCGCAGACAAGTTGTTTACACGCTCAAGCTTTGCACGCTTTGTTTGGAGAACTGTGAAGAAGGCCGATGCATAAAAGGAAGGAGGGTGTGCTGGTACTGCAGCAAACTCGAAGGAACCCCGTTTGAAGATGTAATACCTCACGACAATGGCCACCATCGAGCATTATGCCCCGTCCCGGACGCAAAGTGGAGGATCGAAGCCAGGGTGCAAGCAGCAGTTCGCGAATTACAGGAGATGGAAAGAAATCGACATTCGAGGCGGGGAATGTCGCGGCATTAATCCGCGACCAGGAAGATTCATCTACGATAATGATACCATTTTTTACATCTGTTGTAACGATATCGTTCTCTTGTTTGATATACGTTGCATTGTTTCTTGACGTGGAGAAGTGTCTGGTTCAGTTACTCAAGTTGAAGTAAAGATAAAGTGTTACGGCACTGTGCTCGGATAATTAAGTCCCGCGTGGCAGAACAAGTTAATACATGGTGCATCGGCCGGGAAGATACTTCAAATAGATAAAGTGTTATCGGCTCTGTGCTCGTATCACGACAGATAAGTCCCGCGTGGCAGCAAACAAGTTAATACAATTATGTTGTTGCATAAGTTTTTTCCCCCTGTTTTGATCCTTCCGTATTTCGTTTGCATGGAGGTTGGTATTTCGTCATCACGTGTGCGTGACGTGTACATGATACTCTTTCACCACACTAGCTATCCCTGCATTTGCAGGCTACAATGCCGCACAATTACCAGTGCAAAACCATGTCACAGTGGTGATTGTGCGGCATTGTGGCCTTCTTCGGGTCCCAGCCCCCGTCCTTCTGGGACGATGGAATCGACAAGCTGCCTGAGCGTTGGCGTCGAGTAGTGGATGGTGATGGTGCATACCTCTAATCTTCAGGCTGGTTCGCTATTGAGATATTTACAAAAAAGTCGGGGGAAAGAACTTATGCAACAACCTAATACTAGCCGCATGTGACTGCGGATATACGGTGGAAGCTTGGTGAGTGCACTCTTCGTGTTGTGTGGGCTTTCAGGTTGAGTTCCGAACACGCCATCGGAACTGCTAGGGTTGGTTGGGCGCTTAGTAAGGTAGTGTTCATTTCCTAACCTCGAAACGCGTTTAGGCCTCTGAAGAAGACGACCAAGTCGAAACGTTAGGCCGTAAAATAAAGATTTCCACCTAAAAACCTCGAGTGGCATAGCAATATAAACAGAATAACGACAACATTTTTTTGAAACCCCAATCATTCGTGGGATTGGCTTCTACCATATAGAATAACTAGAACCGTAGATGCGTCAGTCACAGCAGGATTGTTGAGGCTGACGCATGTGCTTTAGGTGTCCTTGGGCTCGATAATGGATGCCTCCAGTGTCTCGTGACAGTGGAGCCTTTATTCTGCTTGTCAAGGGGTATCTTTCGATTCCATTTATGCACTGAGGTCAGCGTGCGGATAACTGCCATGAAGGAATCTATTTCATTGATCAGAATAACAGATACATATCACAACAACTCAACAGCTAGCGAGTGATAATCATATCAACAACAAGCCAAACGAATGCTATTATGAACACCGCGTTGAACATACACCGGATTCAATGGCGCGATCGGCAAAATACGCCCAGTCATTTAAAATCATAAAACTAGCAGTGAGAGGAGAAACAGCAATGATGTCCACATTCACTTCAAGAGGTTAAAACCACGACGAGCCAGGTAATATTTTAGTCCTAACATCATTCTAATCACTTCTAATTTGCCAACAGATTATGTCAAACCATAGACGAACTATGTAGTATACAATGAAACAGTCAATGTAGCTCACTTATAATCGGTCACACTCATCTAGGCAGCAGAACGTGAGAGTGTAATTGAGAAAATCGGAAAAATTCCTAGAAAACCTCAACGCCCTGAGACAATGTGAAGAAGACTGAAATAGGTATCCAGATATAATTTCCGTTGGTCTTCAAGTAAATCCGTTACGCAATCCTGAACATAACTTTTTGAACGCATTAATGAAGCTGTTTTGTTATGATAACTGCTGTTTAACGCCGCAGTACGCGTTCCGAATGTTATCACAAGAATGCTGAGTTGTGGGCAAAAGTCGTGCCCCAGGCGGGAGTACTGCGGCGTTAAACAGCAGTTATCATAACAAAACAGCTTCAAAAACATCTAAAGCCTTAGGCCTCGCGGTTTCATGCCGATATCCCATCGATTACGGCTGACCGGCTCACCAAGTTAAACGTGTGAGTGCTGATAGGCTACGGCATAAAAGCCGTTAAGCTGAGAGGGTAAAAGCGGCCCTGGTGGCGTAACGGATAGCGCACTCGCCCGGAAAGCGTGAGGTGCGGGTTCGACTCCCGCCTGGGGCACGACTTTTGCCCACAACTCAGCATTCTTGTGATAGCATTAATGAATGTTTTGGACGCTAAGGCTGCGTTCATACTTTCGGCAGCGTCCCCGCGACCATTGGCGTCGCGCCCACCAGCGTCAGCGAATAAAGATAAAGATATCCATCTAGCGTCTGCCAGTGTCTACCAGCGTCTACCAGCGTGCAGCAGACAGCTGGTAGAGAGTATGCGGCGAGAGTAGGGAGGGGGAGGTTAGCAGCTATCTGCTACCCTCCTACCGCGCCATACTCTCCACTTCCAGAAGCTGCTGGGCGTTTGTAGATGTTGGCACACGCTAAATCGATACCCACACTTCCCTAGCCCTCGAGACGCTGCTGGTCGTTGGTAGACGCGAGATCGATATTTATACTTTCCTAGTCGTTGACACTGCCGGACGCCCGGAAGGCTGGTGGACACTGCCGCAAAGTATAAACGCAGCCTAATACTTTCTTCAAGGCAGTAAACTATCCTCCCCAGCAACAGTGATGAAGACAAAAGGTGGCGCTTGTGTGGTGTGTGTGTGTGTGTGTGTGTGTGTGTGTGTGTGTGTGTGTGTGTGTGTGTGTGTGTGTGTGTGTGTGTGTGTGTGTGTGTGTGTGTGTGTGTGTGTGTGTGTGTGTGTGTGTGTGTGTGTGTGTGTGTGTGTGTGTGTGTGTGTGTGTGTGTGTGTGTGTGTGTGTGTGTGTGTGTGTGTGTGTGTGTGTGTGTGTGTGTGTGTGTGTGTGTGTGTGTGTGTGTGTGTGTGTGTGTGTGTGTGTGTGTGTGTGTGTGTGTGTGTGTGTGTGTGTGTGTGTGTGTGTGTGTGTGTGTGTGTGTGTGTGTGTGTGTGTGTGTGTGTGTGTGTGTGTGTGTGTGTGTGTGTGTGTGTGTGTGTGTGTGTGTGTGTGTGTGTGTGTGTGTGTGTGTGTGTGTGTGTGTGTGTGTGTGTGTGTGTGTGTGTGTGTGTGTGTGTGTGTGTGTGTGTGTGTGTGTGTGTGTGTGTGTGTGTGTGTGTGTGTGTGTGTGTGTGTGTGTGTGTGTGTGTGTGTGTGTGTGTGTGTGTGTGTGTGTGTGTGTGTGTGTGTGTGTGTGTGTGTGTGTGTGTGTGTGTGTGTGTGTGTGTGTGTGTGTGTGTGTGTGTGTGTGTGTGTGTGTGTGTGTGTGTACTCCACCACAAACACTTGGGTCGAGCCCTCCTGGCTAGATGAGGGAGGTCGTTTGGGGTGTCATGCACTTTTTCAAACTGGTTGTTTGGGTTTCGGCATTTACAGTGGAATATTCAGAGGGATCGAAGAGTTCGTAAACGAACATACTTGGGTTAGTTATTCCTTTTCTAATGTTCGCAATGCTCCGAGTGGATTTCTTAATGCAGCGTGGTGTCACCAGCATTGAAGGGATGGAGAATAAAGTTCTCGCCGTTGATCAATTTACCGTTCCCGAGGGGTAGAAGACTTGGTTGGTCTTGACGGGAGCCAATCTAGGATTGGACTCTCCGGACCGCGCGCGTGGTAAGTGCACCACTTGCCACTAGACAAGTGGCACAGCACTGCTATGTGCAGCCGCCATCCAGGCATTTGATTAGGCTGCGTTCATACCTAACGACGACGTCGACGCACCGACTTAACTGGCAAAAACCTTCCGAAGGCTGGATACCATCGATCCGACGTAACCGACGCAACTGGCGACATTGAAGTTTCCGACGTAACTGACTACTTCCAGAAGATCAGATATTTATCGACCGACGTAATCAATCCGACGTTGAAGTCGCCAGTTACGTCGTAACAAAAAAAAGAGCTTAACGTCGCCGACGTAACAAGCGACTTCAACGTCGCGTCGCGTCGGCGACATCAACGTCGTCACTTACGTCGGTTACGTTGGATCAATACGTATTTCAACAGCGTAAATTAGGGAGAAAATGGCTAAAATAGGCTGGACACAGCTGATCGCCGCGCTCGTGATACGCCGCAGCCGCGCTGCGACCATTGGCCGCCTAATCAAGTGCCCGGATGACAACTATACCATACTTATATTGTTACTTTCATCGAAATGCATAAGCAAACAATACCTAACAAATAGTGTGTTCCAAGAAATAACGAATATCGGCACATGAATTGAAATATGACTTATACACCCGATCACATACGACCATATTTTGTGAGGAAAACATTTCGAACAGCTCCTGAAAATGAGTTCAAAATGTTGAAGAAGAAAACGAACCTACGCTTCCTCCCAAACAAAAAAGTTGTTTCTACATATAATCACAAAAGCAATGCGGTTCTATTAATAGGGACCCTACTGGACCCCGTTTCGAAAATCCAGTGAGTTACTGGAGCACACGGGGGAACCATGGAGGTTTTACGGTGGAATTTTTACACTGACATTTGCAAAGAACTGCAAGGACCGGTTGGTGTGCAAAGATGTTTTTACCAGACAACTACCCGCCATATGAATGACCACAGGATGGAAGGCTTGGTTAGCACTGGTGGCCGTTCCGAGATTCGTGGCAGACCGTGCTGCGTGATGACCGGCAACTTGCCACTACACTACATCCACGTGGAAGCAAACCCAATCTCACTGAATGTCATTCTAAGAAACACGAAGTCAAAGAAGTCACGTACTCCGCTCCAATCGGTTCCGACCTCAGGCACCAGACTGAACGAATTATCTTTGAGCAACTCTTCCATCTCATTCAAACGGAAATTTAATTCGGTAGCAGAATTGCGAATCACAGCCCGTAGTGTCTCGCAGTGAACAGCGAATTCACTCTGAAAAACACATTTTGATGTGAAAACCATGAGCATTGAGCACCATGAGCAGACAAATTCCCACTTTAGCTTGACTTGCTGATTTGCCCTTCTTTTGCGTTCCATCTGACTGCCGACTAGAATAGCTTCTTTCCAGTATTCGGACTAGGAGCTGACACGCAGCAAGCGACTGCAGCGTTCTTGAACAGGTGACAATCTCATCTTGGATGAAGAAAGGGGTAGCCTTCCGCTCCAATGGCGGCAACATGGCTGAAAAGAAGCTAATGAGACACGGCGCTCAATATTATTACTGCTGCTGCAGTACAAAATAAAAAGGTTACAACAAAGTTTCTGCGGAGACGGTCCGGAGATCTTCCTGTGGTAGAGAGATACTACCGCACTCCCTCACCTGACAATTTTTCCTTCAACTCAGCGTCTTTCGGGAGCACAGATGTAGTAATGTTTTCACCAGCTTTCTTCGCTGTCGCTAACTGGAAAATCGTAGCTATCAAATCAAAAGCAGTTTCAGTTATCTGATCTAGAAGGAACTATAACAGATTAGTCCACCGTTTTCTAGACGGGAATCAGGGATGGGGTAAATCAGGGAATCTGATTATCTGACTACGCGCATACGACCAGGTTGCTTCCTTCTGCGCCCGGAAATTACTCGTCGCCCGCGACAAGTCCGCGTGAAAACTGGCTGATACAGAACTGCCGCAAAAATCTGTTGCATCAGGGAAAGACCGCACTTCCGAAGTAGCCAGCGTCTACCAGCGTTTAACATCAACCACGTCTAGGTGTGGATAGTATGGGTAAGTGGAAGGGTAGCAGACAGCTGGATTGGGCGTCGTGAAATCGCGGCATGTGCAACCGCGCCATACACTGCTCTACACCGTACAACGGCACTGCACGATTCCGTGCTTTAGCAGTTACACGATGATGTTGCACACGCCTCAATCTCACGACGCTTAAAGACACTCCCCGCGATCAAGTGGTCCTCAAATCCGTGCATTTTTTACTGTTATACGCGTTCACAAAGAACATAACGATTTTTGCCCCCCAAAATGGCGATATAACAACGTTAGAGCACGTGGTGTGATGTGCAACACGTGCGACATCATACTGTGGTTGTACGAGGCAACGGCTCACAACCTTCTATTCCTACAACACCCGCGTGGCACGCTCACAACCTTCTATTCCTACAACACCCGCGTGGCACGTGCCGCGCGCGGCGCTTCTGGCACTTTGCCATCTTCGGTTATCCGCGCTTTCCATAGCGATTAACCGCAAACCTCGCACCGTTGGACATATACTGAAGACGACTTAGGCTGTTCTAGGGTTCTACAGGAGGGGGGGGAAGACATTTCGACCGAGTCACATATCAGCAAAGTTTTCGCTGCCCAGAGAGAAGACGTGGATACGAGTACCAGGGCGGAAGATACCCAAGATGTTCCTCGATAAGCAGGAGCTGGCTCTCGCCCATCACCTTCATGTACACCAAAATGAAGTCATCTCCAGTCGCAGCCTGACTGGAGAAGACTTTTGGAATTCATGTCACCTCCGAACAGCTGCGAAACTTCTAGTATGGAGTCACCCATAAATAGCTACCTGGAGAGCAGTACTCTCGATCTGGAAGACCTCCATCATCGAGCAGCTCCGTCAACGTCGCTACGGTCTAGGACATCATCTTCACCTCAGTCGCCAAGGCGCCAGTTGATGGTGGGGACCGGACGTACCTGGGAGACCGATATTTTCTTCGTGGGCCCCGGACTGAAGGTGAGCGCTGGCGGTTACATCGAGCAACTCGAGAAGAATATCCTCTCCATGTCGTCGCCCGTACCTTCTTGGAAACTTTGTACTGCTACACAGCATTGGGTGCCACCACAAGGAATCGGAGGCGTTGGAAAAACTCTTACCAACTGGGAGTGGAAGGGCGAGGAGAAGGGAATAGCCAAGTAGGTAACCTGACCTAAAATCCCTCAATTACCTGGTTCGGGCGGAGTTCAATAGGGTGGTCTACAGTGGCGGAGAAATCAACGATCTCGCTGAACTCACGCACCCACTGACGGTCGCGTGGCAGAATCTCTCGATGGCGCTCCTCCAGAAGGCTGTGGCGGAGTATCATGATAGTATTTAATATGCTCTTTGAAATAGTATAGCGTCTCGAAAGTCGAGGAAGAAAAGTCTTTTTTTGGCCCCCTGTGTAGTCTTTGCAAGCGCGATTCCAATTAGGAGGATGTGAAAAAAAGAGCAGCAAGCCTTTCTTGAGTTTCATACTCTGCAAGCGATGGGAAGGACGTGAACTGAAGAGCAGGTAGTTCGTCTTCCATACTCGTCGCAAGAGGAGGATGTGAAATGAAGAGCAGTTAGTGTGTTTCTCAGACTCACCTAATGATCTTTTAGATGAGGACACTATAGACTTACCTCATCTTTGCGACATCAGATCTAGTCTCTACTACCTGAGCTTTTGAAAAAAGGCTTAAAAAATTTTGTATAGCAGAGACCTCAATTCTCACAACCGATGCAATATCAGCATCAAATTGGCCAGAAATTGCCTGGCGCTCACGCCACGGTCCCACGTTTCAAGCTTTGCGCTCCAGTCGCTATGGAGACACACTCGTCAAAGACTGCTGAGGGCAGGCCTGTGTTTAGGGGGTTCCCGAGAGTTTTCTTCCCTTCTTTTCTACTCCGCAGGCAACGTTTTGGGCGAGAAGAATAGCATGGATATCGATCTGGCATCGACACATACACTATAGTTTTGCTCAAAACGCTAGCATTCCGCTGATAAGTTTCAAAACCCTAGGTCGATAGCTAACGTTCCTTTCGCCCGAAACGCTCAAATGCAGACGAGAATTATGAACGCAGCTCACCGCAACCTAGTCCAAGTAGCTTTGTTGATTCTCGATTGAATAAAAATCTGTTTAGGTTTTGAAAACAACACACTGCATCGGAATGAGGAAAGTTTCCGCCTTCTAGACTAGTGGTTTTTCTCCTCATTTCAGCACCGCTCCTCGAATTCCTAGAGTAGTTCAGGTTTCATCTGCGAGCTTATTCTTGAAGCTGTGAATAGAGCTTGTTGTGGCGGTTCAGTAGCGGTTTTGTAGATTGCAGACGAGACGAATAGTCCAACCGTTTATCTTGGTTATACAAGCATAGGGTTTGGGGCTACGCCCACGCCTCGAAGAGTTGGATGCGGGGATTAGGGGGAGAGGGTCATGGCCATCGTGGCGATGACAGAGCTGAGTATGGATCTCGTACTCGTACTGCATTTTGCTCAAAAAACTAAGCATGTGCATGGCAGTGGTAAACACATGACAAGGGGACTATACTGCCATCAGAACCATGTCTAAGAATGTGGCTAATTGAAACCACTACTTGAACATGGAAAGAAGCAGGGCATTAATCACAGCATCGCATTCATTTTTTCATTAATCATAATCAACGCATTCAAGCATTAAGCAGGGCATTGCGTGACCTGTGAAGGAGAAAACATGCAAAGCTATTTGTTGTACCATTTTAAACAATTTCGGAGCCATCTGGAAAATGCTTCAACAAGATGCCTCAGTAATGTGTAAAGACTCCGCCGCAATGCTATGAGAAATTCTGACCCAACGCGGACTATTTTTGATGAGTGCCGTTGAAACCCAATTATACAAGTACATTTATAAATAGAAAAATGATTTATTGGAGCATCCAACGGACCTATAGTTCTTACGAACACTACTCCATGCAATCGTTCTAATCACATGCAATAGTTCTAATCCTTTGGATATCCTTAGCATCGCAACAACTACGTTCCCCAAGCGATTTCTACGCTGTTGTCGTGAGATACTGTGTTTGGTGTGCATCCAGATTTATTTACGGCTCATTTGGGGTACGGTGTACGGTTGTTCGCCTACTGAAGTTATCGTACAGTGCATT